TGACTATGCAAAGGCATTCGACTGTGTGGATCATAACAAATTATGGACCACATTGTGAAGAATGGGAATTCCAGAACACTTAATTGTGCTCATGAGGAACATGTACATAGACCGAGAGGCAGTCGTTCGAACAGAACAAGGGGATACTACGTGATTTAAAGTCAAGAAATGTGTGCATCAGGATTGTATCCTTTCACCATACTTATTCAATCTGTATGCTGAGCAAATAATTGAAGAAGGTGAACTATATGAAGAAGAACATGGCATCAGGATTGGAGGAAGACTCGTTAACAACCTGTGTTATGCAGATGACACAACCTTGCTTGCTGAAAGTGAAGAGGACTTGAAGCACTTACTGATGAAGATCAAAGACCACAGTCTTCAGTAGGGATTACACCTCAACATAAAGAAAAGAAAAATCCTCACAACTGGATCAATAAGCAACATCATGATAAATGGAGAAAAGACTGAAGTTATCAAGGATTTCCTTTTACTTGGCTCCTCAATCAACACCCATGAAAGTAGCAGTCAAGAAATCAAATGACACATTGTGTTGGGCAAATCTGCTGCAAAAGACCTGTTTAAAGTATTAAAAAGCAAAGATGTCACTTTAAGGACTAAAGTGCACCTGACCCAAACCATAGTATTTTCAGATCGCCTCATATGTGTGTGAAAGCTGGACAATGAATAAGGAAGACCAAAGAAGAATTGATACCTTTGAATTATGGTGTTGGCGAAGAATATTGAATATACTATGGACTGCCAGAAGAACAAACAGATCTGTCTTGGAAGAAGTACAGCCAGAATGCCCATTAGAAACAAGGATGGCAAGACTTCATCTCACATACTTTGGACATGTTATCAGCAGGGACCATTCCCTGGAGAAGGACATCATACTTGTAAAGTAGAGAGTCAGTGAAAAAGAAGAAGACCCTCAACAAGATGGATAGATACAGTGGCTACAACAGTGGGCCCAAGCATAACAATGATTGTGAGGATGGTGCCGGACCGGGCATTGTTTCATCCTGTTGTAGATAGGGTCGCTATGAGTCGGAACCAACTCAATGGCACCTAACAATAACAACAATAAAGAAAACAAAAATCTTCACAGCTGGACCAGTAAGCAACCTCATGATCAATGGATAAAAGATTGAAGTTGTCAAGGATTTCATTTTACTTGGATCCACAGTCAACGCCCATGTAAGCAGCAGTCAAGAAATCAAACGACATAGTGCATTGGGCAAATCTGCTGCAAAAGACCTCTTTAAAGTGTTAAAAAGCAAAGATGTAGATGTCACTTTGAGGACTAAAGTGTGCCTGACCTAAGGCATGATATTTTCATTCACCTCATATACATGTGAAAACTGGATAATGAATAAGGAAGACCAAAGAAGAAGTAATGCCTTGGAATTATGGTGTTGGCAAAGAATATAGAATATACCATGGACTGCCAGAAGAACAAATCTGTCTTGGAAGAAGTACAGCCAAAATGCTCATTAGAAACAAGGATGGTGAGACTTCGTCTCATGCACTTTGGACATGTTATCAGGAGGGTCCAGTCCCTGGAGAAGGACATTGTGCTTAGTAAAGTAGAGGGTCAGCAAAAAAAGAGAAAGACCCTCAGCAACATGGATTGACACAGTGGCTGCAACAATGGGCTCAAGCATATCAATGATTGTGAGGATGGGCAGGACCAGGCAATGTTTCATTTTGTTGTACGTCGGGTCACTATGAGTCAGAGCCCACTTGATGGCACCTAACAATAAAAACAAGGATGACCAGTTAATATGATTATTATTCAAATTTATGCACCAACCACAAATGCCAAACATGAAAAAATTGAAGATTTTAATCAACTGCTGCAGTCTGAAATTGATCAAATACACATTTGGGACACATTGATAATTACTGGAGATTGGAATATAAACGATGGAAACAAAGAAGGAGCAGTAGTTGGAAAATACGGCCTTGGTAATGGAAATGATACCAGAGATTGTAGGATAAAATTCTGCAAGACTAACGACTTATTCATTGGAAATATTTTTTTTCAACAACTATACCTGTGGACCTTCCCGGATGGTTTACACAAGAATCAAATCCACTGCATTTATAGAAAGAGATGATGGGAAAGATTAACGTCATCAGTCATGACAAAGCCAGGGCCTGACTGCAGAACATGTGCAAGCTGAAGCTGAGGAATATCAAAGTCCCCAAGGGCCAAAGTACAACCTTGAATACATTCTGCCTGAATTTAGAGAGCATCTCAAGAATAGATTTGACACACTGAACACTAATGACAGAAAATCAGAAGAATTGTGAGAAGACATAAAGGGCATCATACATGAAAAAAGTGAAAGATCATTAAAAAGACAGGAAAGGAAAAGACCAAAATTAGAAGAGACTCTAAAACTTGCTCTGAAGGTACAGAGTAGCTAAAGGAAATGGAAGAAATGATGAAGTAAAAGAGCTGAACAAGATTTCAAAGGGTGGCTCGAGAAAACAAGGTAAAGTATTATGATGAAATGTGCAAAGACCTGGAGTTAGTCTAAAACTTAATACAATATTTTCCCAGAAATAAATAAGTAGAGTAAAACTATTACTAGTCTATTATACGTGTATATACCCTTGGGCATGTCTTATTCAAATACCATTACTATAAGTGTCCTCTTCTCATCCCACATCTTAATGAAGTCCATGTTTTTATGGCCATATTGCATTTTTTGATAAGTAAATTAATATGCAAATAATCACAAGAATGAATTTCATGAAGTCTTTTTTTAATGAACATGCTTTCACACAGATACTATATCTAATCATCCCTTTGTTTCTTTTGAGTAGTGAAATAGCAAAAACAGAATTCCTTCTTAAGGAGTATATGAAATACGGACTTTTTCTGCTGAAATTGTCTCCAAGACACTGGCAAGTCCAGCAAGCACTGAAAAGGGTGAATGTATCAAAAAGTAAAGACAGTATGAATAGCATCCTTCCAAAATTATTAGCAAGTAAGTCACATATTTTTAATTTCAATTAAGGTAGTATTTCTAATTCTAAAATATTCTGCCTCAATGTTTGTTGGCTTCTTATTTAAGCAGTCAGAATTTTCATTTTAAGCAAAACCAGAACAAGGATCCCCACATCTCTACTATTATATTCTGTTAATTTGAAAACTTAGTTTAATTCCAGACATAAAGCAATAAAATAATTGATAAAAGAGAAAATAATCCATTATTTGCAGATGATATGATAGTATACCTAGAATCCTGTCTAAAAAAAACCTGAAAAACTATTTGATTTTACTAAACAGTTCTGTAAACAGACATAAAATCAATTATACATTATTAACCAGTTAGAAAACATTATACACAGAAATTCAGTCCAAGAGTGCAACAAGAACCTTAACGTGTGTGAGCTGAAGATTTGATAAATAAATATTCTATTTTTTTTAGATAGGAAGATTGATGTTGTAAAGCTACCAATTCTTATGAAATTAATGTATATGTTTCATGAAATTATAATAAAGATGTTACCAAAAATTTGTCAGGGAATTGGTTGTTGGGGAGGAGAAGACATTACACAATGATTCTGAGGTTCATCTAGAAAGATAAATACTTTTGATAAAAGAAGGTAGTGGGGGTTACTAATGCTTTAAAATATTATATAATATCACAAAGTCTCAGTAATTAAAACAGTATGGTACTGGCATTAGGAAGTCAGCTAAATCTATCAGAAAAAAATCCTATTGTATTTAATAAGTGGTAAAAATGGGACCATAAATCGATGGGGGAAGACTTCCACTTCCAGCAACATGGAGTAACAAAGACCAGACTTACTATCTTGCCTGGAAAAGCTGAAAAATTGGATAAATATATGAATCAATGGACAGACATTGGACATCAGCCCATGAAGGATAGTGATCCCTGAGAGAGAAGTGAGGTGAGCCCTACATTGCCCCAGCCTGGAGAGAGTTTGCAGGATGCAGCACAGGAAGGGGGAATCCAAAGGATTCCAGCAGCTCCTGAGTTAGAAAGACAGAGATAGGATTTGGGGCGGGGGGCGGGGAGCAATGCTATTAGAGTTACTATGGCAGAGTACTGGAGAGGAGAGCACAGCACAGACAGAGAGAGAGAGAGTTCTGGAGAGCTTCAGTCTTCAGCTAAGAACTGATCCACACATACTCCAGGATAGTATTTACACCACAGAAATTGGTAAACTCTGCAAATCAGGGAGCATTTTTTTTCCAGAGAGCTGGTTGTTGAACATTTACCAGCATACAGCCGATGGTTGCACTGCTCAATTCTCGTGTGTCTCCATGTGCTGAGTGTGATTAAGTTAGATAATGTGTGTAAAATATTGAGCACAGAGATGACACTTGGTGGCTAACAAAAGACAAAACACATGCAAAGGAAAACTGAGGAGCATTTTCATTTAATAACTTATGATTCAGTCCTCTGGTGGCACAAATGATGAAGTGCTCAACTACTAGCTGAAAGGTTAGTGGTTCAAACCCACCCAGAGGTGCCTTAGAGCAGGCCTGGTGATACGCTTCTGAAAGGTCACAGCCTTGAAAACCCTATGGAGCAGTTCTACTCTGCAAGAGTTGGAATCAACTCATCTGCAACCAATAACAACAACAGTGTTATGGATTGAATTGTATCCCCCCAAAATTTGTCTACTTGGGTAGGCCATGATTCCCAGCTTTGTGTGATTGTCCACCATTTTGTCATCTGATTGGATTTTCCTATGTGTTGTAAATCCTATCTCTATGATGTTAATGAGGTGGGATTAGCAGCGGTTTTGTTAATGAGGCAGGACTCAATCTACAAGATTAGGTTGTGTCTTAAATGAATCTCTTTTGAGATATAAAAGAGAGAAGTAAGCAGAGAGACAAGGGAACCTCATACCACCAAGAAAGCAGCACTGGGAGCAGAGGGTGTCATTTGGACCCAGGGTTCCTGCACAGAGAAGCTCCTAGACCAAGGGAAGATTGATGACAAGGACCTTCCCCTGGAGCTGGAACCCTGAATTTGGACTTCTAGCCTACTAGACTGTGAGAGAATAAATTTCTCTTTGTTAAAACCATCCACTTGTGGTATTTCTGTTATAGCAACACTAGATAACTAAGACAAACAGATCTGTCACTTGAATAGAGGATACTCAGAAATCAATACACCTCTCATTCCTGAGGAGTGAATAGCTAACAAATGGATTTTAGGGGTTATGACAGACTGACATTGGAAATGGGGATCTCTTAGTGCCAACAGGCCAGTCCTCATCCATTCTGCCTACTCCAGAGATCAGCCCCTTCCATCTGCATAATATATTTGCTGGTCATAGTGTCTCCATCTTACATTTCTGTCCCTGGAAGTTGTCACAATTTTATCTTCTACCTGAGACAAAGCTCTCATTCTCAGAAGTTTTATTTTCTCTCTCTTTCCTCTTTATGTTCCATCTCTAGAATCAACAGTAAGTGGAAAGAAAAAAGATGACAGCTTTGAGGAGTCCAGAAGGACTTCGTTTTCAGAAGATTCTTCTCTGGGAAAAGGTGTCCAAGGTAAAACCAGAGATTTGGAACGTCATTCACAAAAGTAAAACCAGAGAAGGTGTCCATCCCAAAGTGGAGGTGGAGGGTCTACAAGCCTACCTAGAAAATAGAGAGCAGTGTCTACAGCACCCTTAATCCTGGGAGATGAGAATTCCAACTTGGAGAGGTAGAAGAGTGGACAGAGCAGGCAGAAAAGTGAGGGGAAAAGGACCAGCCAGGAGTTGTCCCCTGTAACTGACACACTCTCTGAGATCCTTCCTAACTGGGCCTACTCATTCCCCAGGTTCAGGCCTGAATTCTGGTACTGACAGACCCATTCCCAGGGCCTAGCAAACCAGGTCAGTTACCACCAGGTGACTGCCATTGACGAATGATTCAGGGAAGTAACTGTCATAAAAACTGAGCTAGCTCTAACATAACCCACAATCAGCTCTGAGAACTCATTCAATACCACTATCATCTTTAGGTGGAACTACCTTCCTCCCTCTATCCTCTATCATAATTATTTAAGGTATATTACTTTGCCTATTAGAGGATCTGGGCAGAGTGTGGGAGGAGGTGACAGATGGAGTGGGTGGTGATGTCAATGTTCTCCTCTCTGAAATCTTAACAATACTTTTAGTAATACGTGTTCAGGTATCCACTTAAAAGCTAAGATGGTAAGTTATGATGGTGGTAGGATCCATCTGGTTCTTCATCCATTTCCTTCCTTTCTTCATTCACCATATATTTATTGGAGGCATACAATGTGTCAGGCACTCTTCAAGACCCTCAGTACACAAAGATGAATAGATCTGCACCTCACAACTACACAGTACAATGGGGTGAGTGATATAGTAGTGATACATAGTGAGGGTTCTGAGGGCAAAAACCAAAAAGACGATCTCTGCCTGAGGCAGTTAAAAGAGTCTTTATAGACAAGATAACATTTGAGCTGGATTTTGAAGTATGTGTAGGAGTTTGCCATATGGCAGTTGGGGAGAGTAAAGCCCACTGTGGCTTCGAGACAGAATAGCATGAAGAGTGGTTTGGGAGTCATGAAAGCACTGGCATGAGGAAACAGGGAGCTCTGGAGCTGGGATGGCCCTTGAGAGTTGTCCCAAAATGAGTCAAGTGGGCTATGGATTGCCCTCGGGAGGAGGTGCCCAGTGAGAGTCACAGCTGGGAGCCATCTGCAGCTGATATGCCCTGTAGGCTGTCTAGCGGTCAGTGGATGAAGAGACCAGAGACAAATTTTGTCCACTTCTCAATTTCATTCCAGGGTTGGGTCCAGACCTTGACTAAAGTGTAGGGGTGGATGTGGGGGGAGCGAGCACCCAGGTGACTTGTGTGTGGCAATAGTAGGTCTCCCCACAGGAGGTCATGATTGAAGTTCCCGTTTTTATTTTCACCTTTGATTAAAAAAAAAAATTATGATTAAAAATATCTATGATTAGGTAAAAATAGAACCATGACATATCTCACAATTTATATCTATGATTTGTGACCTTTTTATAGTTGTATTATATTTCTGACAATACCCCCATCCCCAAGCAGTGTGCCTTTGATTTTAGACTTATGCTTGGAGCCAAATGTCAGTAGAAAAAAAAGCTCCATTTTCTATATGATTATCATTCTGATAATAATAATTTTTAAAAAGTAATGAGGATACCCATGCAGAAAAATGAATACCATGCACCAAGTGCAAGAACTCATTTTTAATGGTGTGTTATTTCTTTTCACCACCACCATCTCCAACGATGTGGACTTCACCTGGACATTTTGAACAGGAAAGCAACGCAAGAAGACCAATCTCACATCAGAGAAAAAGAAATCATCCCCAGCAAAGTACAGTACATGCTTGATTACCTCTCTTGGAAACTGTGAACGACTTTTAGTAAATATCTATCTTAGCCTTTCTTCAAACATTGTTGCTGTTAGTTGCTGTTGAGTCATCTCTAACTCATGGTGACCTCAGGTATAACAGTACAAAATGTTGCCCAGTCCTACACTATCTTCATGCTCATTGGTATGTTTGAATCCATTGTTGCAGCTATTGTGTCAATCCATCTTTTTAAGGGTTTCCTTTGTTTTTGTTGACCCTCTACTTTACCAGACATGATGTCCTTTTCTAGTGATTGGTCTTTCTTGATAATGTGTCCAAAATAAGCAAGCGGAAGTTTTACCATTCTTGCTTCTAAGGAGCATTCTGGTTGTACTTCTTCTAAGACTGATTTGTTATTGTTCTGTCAGTCCACAGTATATTCAACATTCTTCGTCAACACCACAATCCGAATGCATCAATTCTTCTTCTGTCTTCCTTTTTTATTTTCCAGCTTTCTCATGCATATGAGGCGACTGAAGAACCATGGCTTGGGTCAGGCACACCTTAGTCATCAAAGTGACAGCTTTGCTTTTTAAAACTTTAAAGAGGTCTTTGTAGCAGATTTACCCAATGTAATATGTCTTGACTGCTACCTCCATGGATGTTGATTGTTGATCCAAGTAGAATACACATACACTACTACAAATCCACTCCTTCGTAACAGATGCTGGAGGGAGTAGTTGCTGCTTCTGTGTGCTCCTGATGTGACCAAGCTCTCATAGGCCTCCTTGCATTCTTCGATGAGAGCCTGCAATTGCTATTTGCAGAAAATGCCTGTCCACTGCATCTGTATGCACTATATGAAGAAGAACGAGCATCAGGATTGGAGGAAGACTTATTAACAGCCTATGTTATGCAGATGACACAACTTTGCTTGCTGAAAGTGAAGAGGATTTGAAGCACTTACTGATGAAGGTCAAAGATCACAACCTTCAGTATGGATTACACCTCAACATAAAGAAAACAAAAATCCTCACAACTGGACCAATAAGCAACATCATGATAAAGGAGAAAAGAATGAAGTTGTCAAGGATTTCATTTTACTTGGATTCACAATCAATACCCATGGAAGCAGCAGTCAAGAAATCAAACAACGCATTACACTGGGCAAATCTGCTGCAAAAAGACCTCTTTAAAGTGATAAAAAGCAAAGATGTCACCTTGAAGACTAAGGTGCGCCTGACCCAAGCCATGGTGTTTCCAATTGCCTCATATGCATGTGAAAGCTGGACAATGAATAAGGAAGACTGAAGAAGTATCCACGCCTTTGAATTATAGTGTTGGAGAAGATCCACAAGGTCTTCATTGGCTAATTTTCAGAAGTAGATCTCCAGGCCTTCCTTCCTAGTCTAGAAGCTCCACTGAAACCTATTCAGCATCATAGCAATGGGCAAGTCTCCACCTAGATCACGGCAAAAACTACCTTACTCTGTCCTTGTTCCCTGCCTCTTTAATATTCCAACAGTTTCCACTTTGCCTTCTTAGAGGATTTTTCTAGAGCTGCTTTCCAAACCACATAATTATTCTTTAAGAAAGTACCTCGTTGCCCATCCCCTAATCAACATTTCCTTAGCCTGATTGGAAGACATTTTTTCAAAATAAGTAAAATTTGCTCTTAAAAAGACAAATATTTTTTCACTCAGGGATATTCAGAAGATGGCAGCACAAGCTTCGTTTTGAACACTGCGACACATTTTCAGTTTCTCAAGAAGACTGCATTAGAAAGGGACAAAACAGATGTTGTCATATGTTTCTTTTCAAAAAATTGCATTATTTTATAGATACAACTCAAATAATTGGTTCCATGTGGTACAGCCTTCCTTGTAGTCTCGTCGGTGTGTGTATGTCAGCCTTGTCTAGAACCAAATCTGATTTTCTTCTGCATACACATGGAAACTCTTGATTCCTATTGAGAAGAACAACTATTTTATTTATTCCACTGGCAATTTAGAGATGAAAGCAAATCTGTTGACAAAAAAATGGCTCAGAAATCAGACATTTTCTTTTTCATTTTTCTTTTCCAGTCGACCTGAAAGTATAAGTTCAGAAGACAGTGTGGAATTCCTTTTAGATGATGATATGGACTGTGATCTGGTAACCAGCTTATATTTCTTGATTTAAATATTATGTTTGGTGAAAAGTATAAATGTTTATTTCTTCTTTTGAAATTAAACTTTTCTACTCCAAATATTCCACAAAATATCCAGAAGGAAATATGATTTTGATACTGTTCCCCAATAATATATATAGTTCATTTTTGTCATCACGCATTTTATGAAAAATAAATGTCTATAAGATGCTGTAATTCGGGAGATATATATTGTCTACAATATTCCAGTAAAAATACCCACTTCTTGAATGCTTATCATTTTTTCAGGGCTTGAGGTATGTTGGGTAGTGGAACAGTAAGATATATTAGCCTTCAACAAAATAGCTCTTTATTGCTTGCAAGCCAACCCCACTCTAAATACAACTACAGAAACTCAAAAGAACAAAAAGCACTAATAACCACCATCCAATATTATATGGCCCTTACCCGAAGTTATTTTTTTAACCAAATTTCTTTAAAGTAATGTATACTTATTATAAAAAATCTGGAAAATATGAAATAATTAAAATGTATGAGAAGGGCATGAACTTCACTTAGCCTTTTGTCTTTTTCTTCTAGTCCTTCTCCCTTGCCTTTTCTCAGACCCATCTTTCCCCTTTTTTCCTGCCCCTTGCCCCCTCTCCTACCCATCCCTCCTCCTTCTTTCTCTTTTCCTCACCCTCTTCTTCCTTTGTCTCTTCCTCTTCCTCTGCTCTAATATCTCTCATCAGCCCCAACACCCAAATAACCTCTTCCTGAGAGCCAGCTCTCCTCAGAAATAGGTGTGGCTCCTTTGTACTTCTCTACCCATATCTCCCTCTTGTCAGAATGGTGTTCCTTTACTCCACTGTATATTTCTAGCGAAATCACAAGTGCATATTTTCAAGTGAATTGCATTCTTCATTGTTGACTGAGTAGGAACCCGAGCTTTATTTCAAAGAGCCTGAAGAGTTGCTTCAAGTTCTCACAGAGCTGGAAGAGCAGAATCTTAATTTGGTACAATATTCCCAAGATGTAGATGAAAATCTCGAAGATGTAAATAAAAGAGAAAAAGTTATCCAGGATAAAATGTAAGTCACTGAAATCAAGATTTATTCTATAGGAGATTTCTAACCAGAGACTGGTTGCAGCTCATTTATGTGTGGCCCTTCCTTGTGGTCACTCTGCAATTTCGGCTGGGATATTTATTAATAATAGTTTACACTGCCAGGTGGAAAAGGTAGAAGTTATATTTTCTCAGTTTAATTTTCATCCCTATCTTCCTTTCACTTCTCAAAGTATTTTCATAGCTAGCAATAATAAAGTACAGTTTGAAAGATTTCTAATTATCATTTAAAGACTATAAGAATTGAAATGGTGCCTACCATCTTGATTTTTGTTTAGCGTAGCTTTCATCCTGTCACCTGGCTAGCTGGTCTTCCTTAATCAAATCATGTTTTGGATGATAATGCTGATGAGTGCATTTTCCTTGGCTGTTACCTGCAGCAAAATAGTTCTTTTTTGTGATTAAATATTATATCATTTTATAATGTAAATTTCAATATATCAGAGTAAGGGGATTTCTGTCAGGGGAGGGAGGCTGGATTTGATGACTTACAAAATTTCTTTCTACTCTAAAATTCTATGATATTATTAGAATTTTGAAAAATTACTTCAAGATGCAGAGAATAGGTCTTTACATTCACCTGTTATAAAAATGTGTAGAATATTTTTCCGAAAGATTTACTGGGACAGAAGATGGCAATCTTTTTAAACCACAGGTCAAATGACATTGAACTTCAGAACAAATTAATTTGTTCAGAAGGTAAAAACCTAAAAATCATTATCTCATGCCATCCTTTACCATGATATCATTTATATCCTTGCCCTTCTCCCAATCCTTCCAGCATATGGTGTCCCACCCCTGACAGTATGATTTGCTGGGGTGGTGGGTGGAGAGGTGAAAGAGTGGGGTTTAGTCAAGCAGGAAGAGGAAATCTGTATCAGAATCTCTACGGTATCTTTATCAGAATCTCTAGGCAAGGGAGTCAGGAGTCTGTATTTTTTCCCTTAAAGAAACCCGTTGCAGATGAATTGACTCCAAGTCATGGCAACCTCATGTATGTCAGAGTAGAACTGTGCTCCATGGGGTTTTCAATGGTTGATTTTTTGGCAATAGATCACCAGGCCTTTCTTCCAAGGCTCCTCTGGGTCAACTCAAACCTCCAACCTTTCAGTTAGCAGCCGAGCACATTAACTGTTTATACCACCCGGGGACTCCTATTTTTTCTTTTAGCTCCCCAGATATTCTGATTATCAGACAGGTTTGAGAAGAGTGTCATACTAGATCACATCACAACTTGGGTTCCTAACACCTCAGCTCTGTCACTCTCTACTTGGGGGACACAAGGGGAACCACAAAAGTAGGGGAGGGGAGAAAATGTCCCTTAATGGAAGCTAAAAGCAGCATCTGTGCTTTTATTTTTTTCATTTTAACTTGAAAAGTTGCATGTGTTTTGGCAATATTTTTAAAATGGACTTATGTGTGGCTCGCTAGACATAGGCTGTTGACACATAATCTGGAAAGAGTGTCGAAGCTCCTGACTCATGGTTATCTCACTAAACCACAAATTACAGACAAGGGTCTCTTTCTTCTTTTGTACTAGAAACACCAGTATAGAGTTTCTTTTGGAGCACAAGGAAATGCTTAAGGCTAACTGTGAGAGAGAAGAAGAAAAAGCAGCAGAATTGGAATTAAGATCCAGGCTATTTAGTTTTGGAGAATTTAATTCAGAAATTCAGGTAATCATTCTTTGCTTGTGATATTTTGGCTCATGATAATAATAATTTGTATTTGCTGTGTACCAAGCATTTGAATGGCATTAAAGCAAATCACAAGTCCCAGATTGATGGTAGAGGTGGAAGAACAGCTTGGAATTATTTTATCAGTATGTGTCTTAGTCATCTAGTGTTGCTATTACAGAAATACCACAAATGAATGGTTTTAACAAAGAGAAATTTATTCCCTCACAGTCTAGGAGGCTAGAAGTTCAAATTCAGGGTGCCAGGTCCAGGGGAAGGTCCTTGTCATCAATCTTCCCCTGGTCTAGGAGTTTCTCAGCATAGGCACCCCAGGTCCAAAGGACGCGCAGTTCTGCCGGCTCTTCTTTCTTGTGACATGTGGTCCCCCGTCTCTCTGCTTGCTTTTTTCTTTTATATCTGAAAAGAGATTGAGTCAAGATACAACCTAATTTTGTAGATTGTGATCTGCCTCATTAACATCATAGAGGAAGAATTTACAACACATCGGAAAATCACATCAGATCACAAAATGATGAACAACCACACAATACTGGGAATCATGGCCTAGCCAAGTTGACACACACTTTTGGGGGACACAATTCAATCTATGACAGTATGTTAAGAGTCAATTTAAGTAAGTAGATATATAGAAAGCAGGCAAACCTGCAAAGGGGTTCTCTTAAAATGTGGCTCTAATTATTACAAAGTATGGTATTGAGGTTTTCCCCCTCTAAATAACTTCTTTCAGTCAGAGTGTATACATGTCCAGTAGTTTACTGCCTGTCATCATTTTGGTGGTAAAGCGAGAGCAAGTAATGAACAGAGGAAGCACTGAATCAACCTGGAATGAAAAATTTGCCCAACAGAGAGCTTGTAATAGATTTAGGCCTATCTGGGCCTGCGTAGGTAGATTCATGATCAGAGCACTTGTGGCACACAATAGTATACTTCTTTATTTACATATTTGCCTCTCCCGGCTAGATGCAAAACCCCTCGAGGGCAGGGATTGTCTTACTGGTCTTGTCAGCCCAGTTTAGCAACTTTGTAAGCTAGGTACTCAATAAATGTTTGTTGAATGAATGATTAGATTCACTTTTAGGCCCACAGTAAACTCCAGCTAACATTGGTTTCCTCATAAAAACCTTAAATGAAACAAAAATTCAAAGCTAAAATGTAGGGCTAATATCTTATTTATGGTTATAAACTTTATTTTTAAGCAGAGGTAGATTTGGGGACACTCTATCATTGGGCATTGGGCAAATCTGCTCCAAAAGACCCCCTTAGAGTGTTAAAAAGCAAAGATGTCACTTTGAGGACTAAGGTGCCCCTGACCCAAGCTATGGTGTCTTCAGACTCCTCATATGCATGTGGAAGCTGGACAATGAGTAAGAAGGACCAAAGAAGAATTGATGCATTTGAGTTACGGTGTTGGTGAAGAATACTGAATATACCATGGACTGCCAGAAGAGTGAACAAATCTGTCTTAGGAAAAGAACAGCCAGAATGCCCCTTAGAAGCAAGGTTGGCAAGACTTTGGCTCATGTACTTTGGCATGTTATCAGGAGGGACCAGTCCCTGGGGAAGGACGGGATGCTTGGTAAAGTGCAGGGTCAACAAAAAAAAAGGAAAACCCTCGAAGAGATGGATTGACACAGTGGCTGCAATGATGGGCTCAAGCATAACAATGATTGTGAGGATGACGCAGGACTGGGCAGTATTTCATTCTGTTGTACATGGGTTGCTATGTGTTGGAACCAACTCCACGGCACCTAACAACAGCTCTCAGGAGATGACTATCTCCTCTGCTCATAGATGAGCAGGGTTAAAAAAAAGCAAGAAGCTGTTTATAGCTCCTTCACACACACATTTCCTAGGGTGGGATCGTGCCCTCTGGAGGGCATGGGTCATGCACACAAGAAGTGTGATGACAGCCACCTTTCAGCTCTTCAATGCTGTTTTAAATAATTCTGCAGCTGATCGACATGCAAGATGTCTACTAAATCAGAGTGATATCCGCCCACACAAACCCCTTTCATGCAAGTTTAGGGCAACTTTGAAAAAAAATGGCAAAAAAAAAGTGGTGATTTCAATACTCTTAAACCTTGAGGCAACCAGATCTCTAAACAGAGAAGGTAGAATTGATCTGAAAATCACTTTAAAAGACTATCTGTGAAATTTTGTTCACACATGTAATTTTGTCACTCGTATATTGTACACTCTGGGAAAATGAGGTTAGTAATTCTTAGTGTCTCCTAGAGATATGAAATGCTGGGTTGGAAAGGGGAGATGGAATAGGAAAATTGGGAGGGGAAAAGTATTCTTAGAATTTTCCTCTTCCCCACCTCCATTCTTTCAGATCTGAAAATGTGCAAAACAATGTTTTATGAGTAACTAAACATTTTTCTAGTTGCCCTCAAGTTGACTCTGATTCATGACGACCCCATGTGTGTCAGAGTAGAAATGTGCTCCGTAGGGTTTTCAATGGCTGATTTTTTGTAAGTATCGCCAGGCCTTTCTTCCTAGGCACCTCTGGGTGGACTCGAACCTCCAGCCTTTTGGTTAGCAGCTGAGTGCATTAACCATTGCACCTAATTTTGATATACATAAATTACCATGGTTATTTGGAGCTATGATAACTGTAAAATGAGCACTTCATTTTTTCAAAATTTCCACACACCTAACTGTACTTAATCCTCTAAAAACATTTTTCCTTGATTCACTATTTTATTTTTAAAATAAAATTTTACATTCCAGTAAAAGGACTGTAACATTGAAAAAGATGCAGATCATAAGTGTGTATCTTGAGGAATTTTCCCAAAGTGAACACACTCACCCCAGATCAGGGGACAAAATATGATCAGCACCCTAGAAGCCTCCTTTCAGTCCCCACCATCCCTCAAAGGTGACAACTAGCCTGACTTCCATTACCATCAATTAATTTTTCTGGTTTTGGACTTTATATAATCATGCAACGTGTTTGGCTTCTTTCTCTCAAATTATGTGTGTTAGCTTCATCCATGTGGCTTTGTGTAGCAGCTTGTTCATTTTCATTTCTGTGTGATATTCCATTGCTCAATTAGCAGAACATATTCATCTCTGGTTTTGTTCTTCCGCATAGGAAGCTGATCAAGTTCAATCAGGAGGGTTGTTTAAATCAGCAGACAGCAGAATAATTGGATTAGAAATACAGAATTAGTGAGTTGGAAAGGACTTTAAGTAAACATCTAGACATCTCTTCTTTCCCTGGCCCTTCTACTTCTATCAAAACTACCAGTTTTGATATGATCGTTCCTCTTAAAACATTGCTCTGGTCACATCATTCCCTATTCAACTTTTGGAAGGCATCCAAAGTTCCTGGTATTCAGTCTTCCATAACTCAGCCCCACTGTACCCACAGGAGTACCCCCCATCCATTGCAGCCTCAATTGGCAGCCCCTCTGGAGGTGTGCTAGGCTGGGCCTGCCATCTGGTGGCGGTGCCAGGAATCAGCTGACACTCGCTTCCTCTGTCCTCAGGCCTGCGCCTAGAGCTCCCCTTCCTTTTGCCCTTTTTGCTGTTGGGCCAGGACCTCGATCTCTTTTTCATACGTGATTATCTTCTTTAACTTCATTTCTCTCTCCTATTTCTTACCTGGTTCTTACTTTTTATCTTAAGAAAGTTTCTCTCTGTCTTTTTTCCTCCTGTTTGACAACCTGATGCCTTCAAGACGATTCTGACTCATAGTGACCCTATAGGACAGAGTAGCACTGCTCCATAGGGTTTCCAAGGAGCAGCTGGTGGATTTGAACTGCCAACCTTTTGGTTAGCAGCCGAGCTCTTAACCGCTGCACCACCAGGGCTCCTTGTTTGAAAGGGGAACTTAAAAAAAAAGACATCCTGAAAGATCACTGCCATCCAACCTCTAAAGTTCTTTCTAAGTGTTCAGAGGTCTCCTTCAAAAATTTCCATCAAGTACTAGCCATTCTCAGATTAAAGTTGCTTTTTCTCAAAACCAGTATTCAATATATATTTTTAAATATATATATATTTTCTGCTTTATTTAATGTTGCAGCAATAATGTTTTCTCCTCTCCAATGTACAGCATTTCAACCATTTGATGGGTAACTTGCACTTTTTTTTTTCTTTTCTTTCTGTTTTTCTCCAAATTTTCTAAAAGGAATGTGTTGTTAACATAAATAGGAAATACAATAAGTGGTATTTTAGAAAGGGAGAAAAGAGGGCTTTGTGGTAAATAAAATTTTCTTCAAGTTTCTAAAAGGAATGTGTTTTTAACACAAACAGGAAATACAATAAACGTTACTTTAAAAGGGGAGAAAAGGGGGGTCTTTATAGTAAATAAGACCATCAAACAGCCTGGTAAATAAGGAGGTGGGGGAGCCAAGCTGTTGGAAGCACACCTTTGGTATCAGATCTTTGCCTCTAAGCGCTGGTGGCTGTGCAAGGAGTTTGTGGTTCCAGGAGGGGTTTCTCACGTCGCCAGGAGCCACAGCTGTCTGAAGTGTGTTGTTTGGCCTTGGCTTGCTTTATGGCGGTTCTCATGTTCTTAAGCAGAAGCAGGAATTGGGGCTGGATGTTTCCAGGAACGTGCTTTACTTTGCCCAACAGTTTACTGAGCTCCTTTTAACTGCAAATGCTGGACACTAAGAGGAGAGAGAGGATGGGCTTTCTTACCATTCTGAACTACGTTATCTACCAGCTCCAGGATCGCTACCGTCGAAACAGCACAGTGGCCAGGCACAAGGATCAGCAAGGTTTGGCCTAAGCCTGTGCTGTCTACATCAGAGATAGTGACTTAGAAATACTGCAGTAGCTTCCCAATACAGGGAGTGAAAATTAAGCTGCTAAAAAAGGCTTTTTTTCTAGGTAAGCCTGGAAATCTGTTTGCTTGAAACTTCCCCACTCTGGGAGAATGCATTCAGTCATTTATTCAGCAGACATTTATTAAGTGCATAGTTATGTGCAAGTCACTGTTTTAGATATTAAAAGTGTAAGCATAAGAAGTAGCTCCTGCCCTCCAGGTGCTTAGTCTACAAGGGGAGATACGGCATAGAAATAACTATCATACAGGATGACTACACTTTTAGCGATTACAATGCAGAGGGATTCATGTACTGTTCTGTAAGGAAGTGCATCAGAGTGGCAAACAAGGATTTAAAGCATGAATGCTGTCTCTACTTGGGGGAATCGGACACACAAAAAGTTCAAGCGAAAGGATACATTCTGTTTTGTTACAATTACTTTTTATATCTAGACTGAAATATCTTTTTATGAAAATAATCCAAGGGTAACTATAATAATGATCTGACTATAAATTATGTTATAGATTAAATATCACTGCTACATTTTCTCACTGTTCTATAATATAGTATTAAAAGTATTCCTTTTCAAAAAAGGAAACATTTAGTAGCATATGAACATCTTTTCGCTATAATATGGTAAAACGGCATTTTACATTTGTTGAATGAGTAACCAACTAGTGATGTGAAGTTTTCTGCTCTTCCTTTTCTCCTCAATCTCAGGAAAAACTGATAGAATCTCTTAATAAAAAAATCAATCAAGTGTACAGAGTCTGCATAGGAGATGCTGAGGTTGGCAGTCTCAACCCAGTTCAAAAGCTGGTCAAAGTGGAGTCTCGCCTGGTGGAACTGAGTGATCTCATCGAATCTGTTCCTAAAGAACATGTGGAGGCAATTGAGAAACTAAAGCAGAAAGAACGAAGGCTAAAGTACTCAATGTCTTATGATATAAATACAGTGAATGACTTAATGTGATAGGAAGCTTTGTTTTTGCTTGGATTCCACAAACATTTAGCGAGTCTGTGTTCTATGGCAACAACGGTGCTAAGTGTTAGGGACACAATAGTCAGGAACCAGACCCAGCCCTGCCCTCCTTATAGAGCTTATTTACTGTGGGAGACACATTAATCAAATATTCATATGAAATAAATGTGTCATTACCTGGGGCAACTAACCAAGTTTAGGGGGTGGGCAGCTTAGCTTAGAAAAGAGAATCTTCCGGGTGAGCACACTAGTTAGAGGAACATTTTTGAAGAGCTGTCATGTGGAAGGAAATTTTGCACTTGCGTTGAAGGGCCCAAGGCACAGAATTAGGGGCCCTTCTTTGGCAGACTACAGGGAGACTTGATCTATGAAGGAATTCTTTAAAAGTCAGAACCACACAATGAGGACTTTCTGCAGGAGATAATTTACCAGCACTTACATAGCGTTTACACATTAACTCATTTATTTCTCAAGACAATCCCATGAGGATTATCACTGCTGTAACCCCTGTCCTTGTTTAGCTTGGGACTTTTCAGAAGGATGCACTGATTTACAAATTTCCACACTGAGTTAAATAAGGACTTTTATGTACACACTACTGTTGAAGCAATGATTGTTATAAATATAACATGATCTCAGTATAACGTAGGGAATGCTTATAGGTGGAATAATGTTTATGTTATAGCAAAAAATATGTTGGGAGGCAGACTGGTATTGTGGCTAAGAGGATGAGCACAAGAGCAAGTCTGCCTGGGTTCAATCCAGGTTCCATTACTTCTACTTTGTGACTTTAAGCAGGCCACATAACCTAAGTTTCTTCATATGTAAAATAGTAGTAATAATGGTACTTATTAGGGCTGTTGTGAGGATTAATTAAATAATCCATGTAAAGCAATTCAGCATTCTTGGCACATAATAAGTACTCAAATACTAGCCATTGATATTAGATATTTTGTTATTGCTTACTACATTACCAGTGCATGGGAGATATTGTCTCCTCCATATAAAAATGACGTCCAGAATATATGAAGTTGATCTTTATGTGATCCTATTGAATATAAAATGAATTTTTAATTAAAATTTAAATGAAAGATTATTCTTCCCACAAGATGATCGATCTATGACTGATTACCCTAACAACACTTGCATCTTTTTTATAGTAGCATTATCAAAGTGTGGTTAAACTTATTCTCCATAGTGATACACGATTCCAATTCTAATTATTTATCATTCTTACTAAAAAGAGAATTTTAGTTGATTTTCCCCGCTGTTTGGGGACACTTAACATAGCATCTAAAGAGCCCTCATGGTGCAGTGCTTAAGCACTCAGCTGCTACCCAAAAGGTCAGTGGTTCAAACCACAGCCTTTCCACATGAGAAAGATGTGGTAGTCTGCTTCCATAAAGATTTACAGCCTTGGAAACCCTATGGGGCAGCTCTACTCTGTCCTATAGGGTCACTATGAGTCGGAATTGATTCGACGGCGGTAGGTAACATAGCATCTAATTTTGCATAAAAATGCTCAATGTTATTTCCATCCCTTAGTATAAAACCTTACACTCATGACTTAATTATACGGGCCCATAAAATAGCTATCACTTATTGAGCACCTATTCTGTGCCATGCATTGTACTAGACAGTTTCCATAGGTTACCTCATTTAATTTTATCCACATGACAACCTTAAAGATGGATATTTATAATTTTACTCATTTCACAGAATAGGAAACTGAGATTGAGAGAGAGAAGAAACTTGTTCAAGGTTACACAGCTAATAAAACTGAGCTGGGATTTGAACGTATCTGATTCTAAATCTGGTTCATTGTTTTTCCTTCCTTTTGAGAAAGAGACAAATCACATTTCTTGGTCTTAATTTGAGGATATCATTTTATCCTCATAAAGGTTTTTTTTTTTTTAATCAATTCATAAACATTAACTGGAAAGTACACTTTTATGGTAATTAACAGAGCTATATATGTGTGATTTGTATACTTTTCTGTATGTTATACCTACAATAAAAGGGGGAAAAATAAACGGAAGTTAATTCGAGTGTCCATCGCACAGACTAATTGTAAAATGCTGGACTTATAAGTGGAGTGACAAAAAGGCTTAGCTAAAGTGCTCATTGTAGACCAAGGTCTAACTAGATTTTACTTCTTTTCAAAATGGTGAAATGAAACTTCTTCCCATTTCAAAACAAATAGAATTTGTTGTTGAGATTTCACCTGAATACTCAATAGCCATAGTTATGTGTAAAGATGAAGTGATATTTTCATTCAACCTCAAGGGAGGTCTTATATTTAGCTAGTTTATTACCAAATAGTAATGATGTAGATCTATTTCACTTTCTGTGATTTATAATTACGAGAATCTATTTCCCCCCTTGTGACAGGTTGCGTGAAGAGAAAATGAAAGAAAAACAAAAACACCAGGAGGAACGGCTGAAAGCTGCTCTGGAAAGAGCAGTAGCACAACCAAAGAAAAAGGTTTGTGTTTTGTTATTAATAGGTCCAGCTACATCAATGTGTGTAGTGCTTCGGTGGTGTAGAACCAAAAATACATTATTCATCTAACTTATCCACGTTGACCTTCAGTAAAATAATCTTTATTGCTCACAGCTTCAATTTGTCTCTCTGGTTCATTTATTCAAATTACTGATTTAAATTTCTCGATGACACCTACTTTTTAGTAAAAAGCCACTTTCTCCCTATTCTGGGTTAGTGTCTGAAATATATTCCAGGAAGACTATTTCATGGTTATCTGCAAAGCCAATGTAGACACTGATGCTCATCATAATAACAGTTACCACATAGTGCTTACTCTATGCCTCACAACCAGCCTTTTGAGGTAAGCACAGTTAAACCTGAGAAAGCTAGAATGTGTGTAAGTCAGAAACCTGTCAGAGAAGGAAAACTCAAATATTTTCTATGAATAAAGAGCAACAGAGTAGTGTAAAACTGCATCTTGTCAAAGGTGGAAAACTTGCGAGACATGGAAAAACAAGGCAGTCCCGCCAAGTTGCGGCTCTCACAGGTTTCACTGTACTTGAAAAAGTTTTGAAGTATGGTAACTGTTAAATATGTACCATGTCCAGAAATGAACCTATATGTCTATGGCCAACTGATTTTTGACAAGGGTGCTAAGTTCATCCAATGAGGAAAGAATAGTCTCTTCAATCAATGGTGCTGGGATAATTGGATCTCCACGTGTAAAAGAATGAAGTTGGACAAATACCTCACACCATACACAAAAATTAACTCAAAATGCATTGGAGACCTAAATGTGAGGACTAAAACCATAAAACTCTTAGGAAAAAAATGTAAGAGTAATTCTTCAGGACCTAGTTTTTGACAATGTATCAATGGATGACACCAAGAAAGTCTGAGCAACAAAAGACAAAATTGACAAATTGGACCTCAACAAAATTGTAAACTTCTGTGCATCAAAGGACTTTATTAACAAAATGATGAGACAGACTACAGATTGGGAGGAAATATCTGGTAACCACATAACTGGTAACTCATTGCTATCGAGTCAATCCCAACTCATAGCAACCCTATAGGACAGAGCAGAACTGCCCCATAGGGTTTTCAAGGAGCAGCTGGTGGATTCGAACTGCTGACCTTTTGGTTAGCAGCCATAGCCCTTAGCCACTGCGCCACCAGGGCTCCATATAACTGATAAAGGGTTTAATATCCTGAATATATAAAGAATTCCTACAATTCAACAACAAAGACAAAAAACCCAATCAAAAAATGAGCAAAGGACTTGAATAGACATTTCACCAGAGATATACAAATAGTTGATAAAACACAACAAAAGATACTCAGTGTCATTATTCATCAGGGAAATGCAAATCAAAACCACAATGAGATACCACTTCACACCCACTAGTCCCTAGTGGCACAAATGGTTAAGCACTGGACTAGTAACCAAAAGGTTGGCGGTTCAAACACACCCAGAAGTGCCTCAGAAGTAAGGCCTGGTGATCTGTTTCCAAAAAAGATCACAGCCTTGAAACTCTATGGAGCAGTTCTACTCTGCACACATAAGGTCACTTTGAGTTGAAACTGACTCAACAGCAACTAACAATAGGATGGCTATTATCAGAAAAATGGAAAACTACAAGTGTTAGCAAAGATGTAGAGAAATTGGAACTCTCCTCCACTGTTGGTAGGATAATAAAATGGTGCAGCCACTGCGGAAAAGTTTGGTGGTTCCTCAAAAAGATAAACATAAAATCACCATATGACCTAGCAACTCCACTCCTAGGCATATACCGAAAAGACTTGAAAGCAGGGACACAAACATATAGTTGTACATCAATGTTCACTGCAGCATTATTTACAATAGCCAAAATGTGGAAACACAAATGTCCATCAACAGATAAATGCATAAATAAAATGTGGTATAGCCATACAATGGAATACTATTCAGCCGGAAAATGAAGTTCTGATATATGCTCCAGCATGAACTTTGAAAACATTATGCTGAGTGAAAAATAAGTCAGACACAAAAGGACAAATACTGTAGGATTCTACTTATATGAAATATCCAGATTAGGCAAATACATAGAAACCAGAGTTTATTAGTGGTTACTAGGAGCAGGTGTGAGGGAGAAATGGGGGTGGGGGGGAGGTTTGCTGAAGGGGTATAGTTTTTGTTACAGATGATGAAAAATTTGGAAATGGATAGTGGTGATCGTTGTACAACATGATGGTGAATGTAATTGTCATTGAATTGTACACATAAAAATGGTTGAAATGGCAAATGTTTTAGTACATATATTTCATCACAATAAAATATATTGCTAACTTAGGTTACATATATGTAAGGCTTCAACAACCACAACCAGATGAAAAATACTGGTTAATTGGTTAGACTATGAATCAAATGGTTTGAAGACTGATCTATGAAAATATAGTGAAATTTAAAAAAAAAAAATACTGTCAACAGGTAATTTTTTTTTAAATAAGCATTTTATCTTAAAAAGGATCTGTATTTATCTAACTTCAATTGAACTCTTTCTACAAAGAGTTTCCTGCCCTGTCATCTCAAGGGAGAATTAATCATTCTTTATAGCCCTTCCACAGGTACATACTACTATTCATTTAACCCACCAAATTGAAACTTTTTTAATATATCCACCTTTCCTTCTAGACCATGAGTTACTACCTTTGTGTCCCCAGTGCTTGGTACATAGAGGACACTCAATGCTTACTGAATTAACAGACTAAAAATTAAAACACTGGAAAATTTTTTAAAAGAATGGTGACCCAATAAGTCTACCATGTACAAAGATCTCTAACAAGTTTTTACTCAGGATACTTCACTGGCAACTTTCTCAGAAAGTACTAATAACAAAGGTTACCAAAGGAGATTCTTGACAGTTAAAAAAAAAAAAGAAAAAACTGTGACATAAGGAATTCAGAAAAGTCCAGTCCTCCTACGACATTTTTGTTGTTCCATGGGATGTGTGCTATTGTTCAGTTCCCTTGGGCCAGGGACATTCTGCAATGCATGGGACAGCCTCACACAAAGAATCATCCAGCCTAAAATGTCACTGGTGCCCTTTCTGCGACACAGTAGAGATGTTCCATCAAATCTCATGTCCAATATAGTAGTCTCTTCATCCATTAATTCATACAAATTCAGCTACAAAGCAAAACAAAAATAAAGGGGGAAATCCCAAGACTAAAAGAGAGAAAATAATATGAATAGTGATATATTTGAGTACATGCCCCAGAGAAAATGAACAGTTGTGAATCTAGGGGTTTCTCTAAGCCTTTCCTGGTGGGCACACTTCCCAGAGTCAAGAGCAATACCAGTGTTTCAGAAGACAGTGCATGGTTTCCTGAAGTTTTGTTTAACAAAATACCTAAATGCCATTCAACTGGTGCTCAACACAAGTAATACCTTCTAACCATGAAGGAAAAGGTAATTATAGCATTTACTGAGGTATGTTGGCCAACATGGTGCTTTCCTAGGTTTTTCAAGCATTAATTAGACCATATTCTTTTAGATGACTTTACCTGTATCTCCCCAAGTCCCCACAAAACATAATTACTGTCTTCTGCATAATATGGGTGCTCAATTTGTTACTTAATTTTGCCTAGCATGTTGGATATCCATTAGGTAATCTCTCTTTGTAACTGTGGTTATTTAATATTTTAAACCATATTATTCTTTGTGAAAATCATTATTAGTAATTTTACATATATTTCAGTAAAAACGAAAAAAACTACGTTAAAGAGTATTAAGTATTTTGCTTTCCTTTTGTTTTAGTTGGGAAGACGACTCATCTTTCGTTCAAGACCTCCATCTGGTAACAAACATGAACTACAATTAGTCAATGAGACAACAAAAACACAGGAGGAAGAGTATTTTTTTACTTAAGGCATTTTATTACCAGAATTTTTTTAGGCATATTTTGTAGATTTTGGTTTTCAATAATGGCAATATTCTGTCCTATATGCTGGCCTAACCAATTTGAGGAATTCAGGCCCTTATTTCAAAGGTTATAGGAATAGGAGTAGGAGTTATTTTCTTTTGTTGAAGCCTTTTATTATTCCTAATTATTGTTCTATAAAATTAAACATTTATATCTATACTTTGAGTTGCTACCCAGTTGGGCGTATATATCCAAGTTAACTTTACTGATGTAAGTATATGGTGAATGACCACGAAAGTGTAATAATGGCCATTCTCTGACAAGATGAGAGCTTTACATGATGTATTTTCTCAACCAGACTATAGCAAAGTTCACAGCATATGCTGTATCACCATGGAATATACATTTTGAAAATGTACAACTCTAAAATATATGAAGGGCTTTGGGGGGTTTAAAACTTAAGTGAAAACCACTAAATTACAGTCTCAGAACATAACTATGAGACTGGTTTTTATTTCAGTCACGAATTATGTTCAGAAAACTTAATTCCCTTAAGTGAACAAAGCATATACCTTCAACCTAAATGACAGTTCACAATTTCTGTTGTGCTCTGTCTCCACATTCATTTTAATTCTTAAGTGATGCTCCAATTTTAGCTATGTGTACTTTTTAGCTTATACTGATATAGAATTAACATGTAAGTAATTTACTGACTACTAAGAAAATAATACAGTATATATAATACTAAGAAAATGTTTAGATTTATACATGTCAAAAGTGGCTCAAAAATAACTTTAAAAGAAACAGTTGCTCTTAAAAGGTCTCAGTTAATATATAATCACAACAGCTGAAATTCACCTTCATAAAAATATCTAGAGCATGTAAATAAGTTATTTTCCCTCATAGAGAAAACAGTATTGGTCTTAAAAAAAAAAAAAAAAAACCACCAGCTTGAATAGTTAGGTGGCTTTTAAACCATTAGTTCTGTGAATAATCTCTCAATTATTTCACCATTTGAGTTTTGCATATAAATACATGAATATGAATGGTTCACAAGTTGAAAAACAAACAAATCTTTATTGTCTAGAAAAACATATATAAAAAAAATCCCCCACAAAAGATGCTATTCTCTCATTTCCCCATCTTCTTCCTCTTCTTCAACACCTCTGATATAAAGGACATTATTACACCTGTAAACACAAAAAGAGTCCATTTTGTTGTTCCAACCAAAAACCATATAAATCTGAACTACTATTACATTAGATTTTCTCATTACAAAAATACTGAATGCTAAATTTATACCATTTCTTTCTCTTTTTAAAAAAGTTTTTACCACAGATTTGTTTTAAAAGCATGTGGCATTTATTTTTATCATGTAGTTGTTATAAAATGACATCTTTATAATTTTCCAAAGGGAATTTGGGAATTTGAAGCTAGTTCCAGAAAGAATATACTAAAAATCCATAACAGAGGCCAGACCCAACTTAAACAAGCTCCTACAACTAAGATCACTGAAAAAGGCACTCAGCTAAGAGCTAGAAAGTTTAGTATTAACACTAGAAAAATCATAAGGATGAATAACTCCAACAATTTAAATTTTACCTTTGACAAGTTTAACAATTTCAAAGACTTCTGAAATCTAGTTGTGGACTATTTTGTTAAATTAATAACAATTTTTAAAAAAGTAATTCTGAAATTGAGACACTAGTTTATTCAAACAGGTGTTTCTAATGCTCATCAGTAACTCCCTACATACCCTACTGCCCTGTTACCTTATCAAAACTTCACCCAGATGGCCAGACAATGCCCCATCTATGTATTCTTCTGTATTTGCAAGCTTTAAATAAAAAGAAAATATGTTAGTATAATAGCACAGGATACAAACAGTATAACATATTTAATACTGGTGAAAGAACTTATCATCTGAGACCCTTCTATACCAACATCTTACATTATCTATAATCATAATTAGAAGATCAGCTCTCTACTACTATCATAGTAATTTTTGGTTTCATATAAACATTCATTGAAGTGAACATTGATGGATGTAAAACTAACATGTTGTATAATAAAGCTTGTTTCAACAAAATTTTCTGAATCTTCCAGGTTATATTTCTTTCTATTAGGCATCAAAAGAGTATGTCAAGGAAGGCAGTCTCTGATTACAAGTAAGCTGTGATTCAAAAGTTTCCCTAAAATTCGTTTCTAAAGAACCAGATATTAACTTTTCCTGGAGTAATAATGTTATAAATCATAGTACCCAAATGGGTGTACAAAAGCTATGGATAAAATACCAAATACTTTTATATTCGTCAACAACCAAACCGAAGAACTGAGTAAGAATTTAAAAACAAAAAACTATGTGCTAATCAACAGAGAAAAACAAGTTCTTAAGAGGGTAAACAATTAAGAGTGACCATTATAGCTATTTAAGGGAACTCAATTATTTCTAATTTTATATCAAATGTTAGGTTTCCTTCATATACATAATAAACTTTACTCGTAATTTTTTTTAAAAATCACAATCCGTGCCATCTGGGGCACACAAGAGAAATGAACAGGAGACAAGGGAAAGAGGGAAGTTCCCTTCCTAAGTAGGCCAGTGGAAAAGAGAAAGGAAAACAAGGCTTAAAGAGGATGTGAGGTAAGCATTTAAAATATTTTAATGAATTAATGCCGATACTGGATGTTACTTTCTCATCTATGAAGAACAAAAATTACCCTCCTATATCCAGAGGATATGGTTTTATTTGAAATATATGTGGTTGCCAAGAGACAAATAGTTTTACATGTCATGAATATCAGAAATAATATATTAAGATCAACTGCTTTAAAAACAAAGTGATTATTTTTGGCCAATGCTCACAAACATTTAATTGGTTTCTAAATGACCCAACAATGCTCCAGATGCTTTCTACCACACTTTAAAAATAAAATCCAAAGACCTTACTGTGGTTTAAAAGGCTGTACATGGGTACCAGACCAACCTAATTTTCTATCATTCTTTTCCTAACTTACTCTGCAAGAGCTGCTCTAGCTTTCTTGTGCCTTGAACCTGCCAAGCATCTTCCTGCCACAAGGCGTTTGTACTTGCTCTTCCTACAAAGTGGATGCTCTTCCCTCAGATACTTCAGCTGCTCATTCAGTTCTAGTCTCTGTTTAAATTTACTTCTTCAGAGAGGCTTTCTCTGGCTATCCTATCTATTATTGCACAGTCACTCTATTCCCTTGTTCTGCTTAGTTTTTCTTCATAGCATCTATCATTACCTGGTATCTCATTATATTACTATCACCAACCACTAAAATATAAACCCCTCAAGGGTAGGGACTTTGTTTTGTTCATTGCTGTATTCACAGTGCAAGGCACACAGTGGGTACTCAATAAATATTAGCTGAGAAAACAAACTCAAAAGCATATCACTGTGGTTGGTTACTCAGGAATACATTTTGCAACTAATTCTGGCAGGCTCACTAGGAAGCTATATTATTTCTAAAACTAAATACTCAATGGGTATTTTTTTGAGATACCATTCCTATGGCATAATAATCACTTTTTTTAAAGTGTACAATTCGGTGGTTTTTAGTATATTCATAAAGTTGTACAACCACCACCACTATCTAATTCTGGAAAATTTCCATCCTCACGGGTATATTTTTCAGATTTTTCTATGGCCTTGGTAAAAGATTCCTGCTTTTGGCCAAAACCACACTCTATAACTTTGGGGACCTGAGCATCATCTGTTTAGGTGATAAACTCTTATATCAAGAAAAATCTTAGCTCTCTGCCTGCAAGTACTCCTGCGGAATACTTAAAAGAGTCACGGTCAACCGACCATCTGTCTAGGTAACCTTTAAAATATATTCATCTGCTATTTATCTGTCACATAAATACTTGCAGTTCAGGAGTCATTAGAAAATACAACCTCAACCTCTTTCATCAAAACCTGGCTAAAATAGTTATAGAAGCTAATTTAACAGACAAGCAGTCAGTTCATGAATTCCTTTGGCTGGCCTGTCTTCCCCATTAAGAAACGTTTGATTTTTTAATTACTTTGGTGCTGTCCCTTTAGCAGTCATTAAAAGACATTGAAAGGGTTTCACTTGAGAAATTTCTTTCAGAGGTAAGCGCTGGGAAAAGTTTTGCTTCCTCCAGCAAACTAGTGTGTCTCCCTTACGGCATTATGAATCAAATGTCTGAGCTCTTCTTACTTTAACTACAAGGAATCAAATCTGTGGGTGAGTTTTGATTTAACCCCATATCTTGTACCTTGTGTATCAGTTATAACATCTTCCTGGCCTTGACTTTATTCCTGATTTTGCTTTGTATTTGTCTGTTTCACCATATGCGCTATTATAAGCTACATTAAGCCCTTTGAGGAACAGGGTGGAATAAAATAAATACATTTGTATAAGCTTTGTAACTCTTTAGCTTACCTGCATGTTCATATAGCCATCTACAGATACCAGGTAGCCCTTGTACTCCATTCCCCACTTAAGTTTCACCATCACTGGCTTTCCTGTTAGTCCATTCAGGAAAGGCTTGGGATTGAGGGGTAAACTCTGCACAAACAATAAAAAATAAAAATAAAAAAAATTGATTCGTTTCCCTTAGCTTGGCTTCCCCCACCCATTCGCCTCTACCAAAGCATCAACCAGTATTTTATGTACCCAAATGAAGCAAACTCTTGACTCCCTTTCACTCTTTAAATTATGAAAATTATTATATAACTTTCACTATTATTTGTCGAACAGCACTAGGAAAATTTAAACAACCAATTAGCCAGTTTCATCTTCAACCCCTCAAAACTTTTAGAAGTATTTGTTATTCACTTAAGAAACTGCTCCAGGCTCTAAAGAAACAAAGGTAAAGGCACTAAAAGAGGAAAAAAAAAGCAGATGATATAATCCCTGTTCTCAAGAAGCTCGCAGGGGTGGGGGAGGACGCATACAGATGGACAAATAATTATAGTGCAATGTAGTAAGAGGAGATACACACCGGGGTACCAAACCAATCCAGGGGAAAGAGAAAAGGTTGCCTGAAATAACTAATGCCTCAGTTTTAAAGGATGAGAGGCGTTTCCAACGAGGAAAAAGGACTGTTTCACCAGGCAGAGGAGGTTACTGGTGTAAAAGCCGGTAAGGGTAAAGCAACAAAGAGAGCTCAAACCAGTTGCCCTGGTCAATTCCGACTTCTGGTGACCCATGTGTGCACAGTAGAAGTGGAGATCACCAGGCTTTTCTTCTGAAGCGCCTCTGGGTGAGTTCGAACCGCCAACCTTTTGGTTAGTAGTTGGGCCCTTAACCAAATGCAACACCCAGGGACTCCTGAGGTGAGCTCAGAGATAAACAACTCAGTGTTCTCAGAGCCCCCAAATATCAGGCTACAGAAGGAAGCAGGGGCCAGAACATTCCACTTTAATTCTGGGGGTAGGATTAGGTCTTATTTGACATCGTATCACAAGTGCCCAGCAGGGCTGGCTACATACTGTGGGCAATCATGCAATATTTGTTTATTTGGCAAACCAGAAGGATCCCAAGTAGATTCAGACTTTTCTCCTTCCCTCATTTGCTTCCCCATCAGCCCAAAGGAAGAAATGAACCAAGAAACTTGGCTACACAACCCTTCTAAGATAAGCATATTCAGAGTGATCTCAAAGGACACAGGAACTACTGCAATAACCTCCTAATGGATCTCCAGTTTTCACTCATCTTTCTCCAGTTTACTATCAATACACCAACTATTATTACTTTTTAAAGTATATATCAAACGTCACATCTCTGCTTAAAATGCTTCCATAGCTTCCAACTGCACCTGAAGTAAAATCCAAACCTACTAATATTGCCTAAAAGGTTCAGCCCAATGCTTGCCTCTCTGACCCTATCTCATAACTCCTCTTCCCACAAGAAGCACTGTGGCTTTCCGTCAACTCCTGGAATGCGTCAAGCTTTCTTTCCAGCCTTAGCGCCTTTGCTCGTGTTCCCTGTGCTTGGTACGCTCTTTCTCCTATTCTTTAAGGGACTGTATTTCATGTCATTTACGTGTCAGGTCAAATCCCTTCTATCAGGGAGGCCATCCCTGATCACCTATCTAATGTACGACGCATCCTGTTTGCTTCTTTCTTAGCACTTATTATTTGCAACTGTATGTTTATCTGTTATTATTTGATCAACGCCTGTCTCCCACACCAAACTGTGGGTTCACAGAGCGCAGGGTCATCATCAGTACTTTTCACCCAGCATCTCCAGCGCCTGGAACAGTTAACTGACAGCTAGATGCGCTCAATAAAGATTTGCGGAATGAATAAATGAATGCTCCAAAGCCTGTGCTTTGGGTTCCAGAGGGCTGCGGGCTGGGAGTCCTTACATCATTGAATGAAAGTGGATTACTGAGTGTGATACGCAGGAAGTGAAAACCCAGCGTCCCAAAGTCCCGCTTCATCTTTACCCCGGCCCTGTGGCCCCAGCCAGGAAGGAAACCTCGGGCCTCGGTTCAATTGAAGAAGAGGGGGAAGGAGGGCAGGATGCTGGGGAGGGGATGGCACCGGGAGGACCTCAAAGCCCCCAGCTCAGGGAGAAAGGGACTGGCAACGAGACTCACGGCACCTCACATGGATGAATGGGGACCGCGCGAAACCACCACCAGGCCTAGCGAGACGGGTCCCCCACCACCACCTCTGGCGACTCACGCCGTTCTCTCCCTACCATTGTGACTACCGGCGAATGGTGCAGGCTCCTCGCGGCCGACTCAGCTGTCGTCCGTCCCTCGTGACCGAAGCAGCCGCTCTAGGCCCCGAGTCGCGGCGTTCTAAGAGAAATGGCCGCCAAAATGTACCGTGACCTTTCACCTGCAAACACAGCCCGCTCGGCTTCTCTGATTGGTCGTAAAGAGACGCCTGCTGATTGGAGGAGGCGGCTGGGCCGTGTATCCTGGCAACCAGTGCTGTGCTCTCGTGGCGGAGGGACGCGGCCCAAGTTTCTCCTTTGTTCATCGGCCTCGACAGGTGGTTGGAAAAGCCTTGTGTTGACTTTATGCCTGGGAGATGCTATGTATCGTGTAGAAAGGACGTGATTTCTCGCCAACTTGGCTAATAGAGGTTTCCTTTGTCCTTTTGGCGGAGTGATTAAGAGCTCGGCTGTCAACCAAAAAGGTCGGCAGTTCCAATCCACCAGTCGCTCCTTGGAAACCCTATGGGGCAGTTCTTCTCTGTCCTGTAGAGTTGCTATGAGTCGGAATCGACTCGACGGCAGTGGGTTTGGTTTGGTTTGGTTTTTTCCTTTACTCCTGTGATAACGAATTTGGGGACCTCGAATTTCTTCCTCATTTTCCCATTGATTCTGTGATTTCGGGGCTCCTCTGCCACGGTCACCTTGTACCTGAGTGTTCGCTATTAATGCCCGTTTCAACCCACCATAAAGGAAGTGGGAAAAGCAAAACTAGACTAGGGAAGGTGAAACTCATCGAAGAAAGTCAGATAGAGAATTTATTTCAGATGAGGTCAAACTGAGTCTAGAGTATGGCCTGATAGTCTCCCTGTCATTCTGTTCCTTTTGCATTGCCAGTAAGGCACAGTCTTTTTATATGCATTTATAATTAAGGACGTGGGCGTTTCTTTAACGCTATCGCTCAGAACGTATTACTCAGAATCTCACTCGTGTTTCCATGTTACAGACTTTCAACTCTAATCTGAAAAGAAGCTAAATGCAGGTTTTGGAAAATTCACTATCGCACTTTGGGTAGCAGTGCTTTTTGCTACCCCACGGAGATAAATTTATAAGTGGATTGAGGCATTATGGCACAGTGGGTAAGACTTTGGAGGCAGCGATATATGCTTGGTAGGGATAGTGTTGGACAGAATAGCCATCAGAATAATCAGTTTTGATTTGGGGTAATATTGTTGTGTGCCATCAAGTTGATTCTGACATTTAGAGACCCTATAGGACAGAGTAGAATTGCCCCATAGGGTTTCCCAGGCTGTAATTTTTACAGAAACAAATTGCCAGGTCTTTTCTCTAGAGGAGGAGCTGGTGTGTTTGAACCTCGAACTTTCAGTTATTAGCCCATCGCACCAGGGCTCCTCTTGGGGGAAATAGCAGGGTTTGTATTTTTTGAAGATGGGGAAGAATACATTTCGAGCATATTCTGAGGGAAGTTTCCTCAATTATTAGGATGGATTCTAGCTGTAAAGAAACATCTAAAAAGTAATTTATTAAATTACCAAGAAATATTTATTGAGGGTCTACTACAAGCTACTGGTTAGTGCAAACCGTTAACCACCTCACTGCTAATCAATACGTTCGAAGTCCACCCAGAGGCTCCTCAGAAGAAAGGCCTAGTGATCTACTTCTGAAAAATCAGCCATTGAAAACTTCAGGGAGCACAGTTCTACTCTGACACGCATGGGGTCGCTGTGAGTGGGAATTGATTCAACAGCAGCTGGTACTGTTACTACAAGCTAGGCACTCTGGGGAATAATGATGAATAAAATGGACATGTGATCTCTGCCCTCATGGAACTTTAAAACCTTTTTTGAAGAGGGGAACTAATACATACTGAGTGCCTGCCATGTTGTGCTAGGGTATTTCATGTAATTTACTTAAGGAGCCCTGGTGGTAAATAGTTTTAAGAGCTCAGCTGCTAACCAAAAGCTCAGCAGTTCAAATCCACCAGCCACTCCTTGGAAACTCTATGGGGCAGTTCTACTCTGTCCTATAGGGTCGCTATGAGTCAGAATCGATTCCACAGCAACAGGATCTTACTTAAATTCTCACAACACTTCATGGAAAGTATTAATCTTCCCATTTTAGAGATGAGACACATTCAGAGAGGTTAAGTATTTTTGCCCACGGCCACGTAGTGAAAATGGCTCAGGCCACATAGACAGTGAAAATGTTTCCAAAGCCCAAGAGTTTTCCTTTATACATGCTGCCTCTCCCCAAACTAAGTTAGAGTAGAGAACTAGTGAGCAAATATATAGAAATACCAGTATGAATGCACAATGAAGGAGGATAGGGTTCAGAAAGTGACTTTTGAAACTGATGAGCTCTTCCTTTTATTTTCTCTTCTTTATTCCCATCATACTCAACATTTTGTTTGTTTATGATTATGGTCAGAATTAATTATTGTTATGGTCAGGGTAGGTTTAAGGGGGGGATAAAAACCTGAGTTAGAGCAATGGTATGTAAATGCTAACCCCTAAACCTGGATCACTCTGCAATTAGTATTGGGACTTTAAAACTATCTTTATTATTTGAAAATAAAGAAACAAGCCCAAAACAACTTTTAAAAAAATTGTACAGGACTTCCAGCAACATGGCGCTCTAGGAAGAAGCACCATGCCGCCCCTCCACAGCAAAGATCTGAAAAACTAAGCCAAACGGCGAAAACAGCAATCCTGAAACCCTAAACATCAAATGAAGAGATAAAGAACTCGGCCAAGCACCAAATGGAATAAGAAACTGACAGAGAACAGAGAGCGAGGAGACATACATGGAGAGGTCCCCTATCAGCTAATGCAGCACGGATCCACCATCTTGGACTCCTATCAGAGACCAGCTTACAGGGGGTACAAGAAAGCAGCTTCACAGAGCTTCCAGCAGGAGACAGAACAACCAGTAACTGGCGATATATGCTTTCCCACCCCCTACCCTTCTTCATCCCCACTCGGCCTCGTCTGCTTCCCACGGCCACAGTCTCTTGGCTGGGAAGCACTGGCTGCTTGGATTCCACCCGCCCACACTGGCCGACTCCCTGAGTGCCATTTGTTGGCTGCTGGTGTTGCTTTTTTCTGCTTCTTTTGATTTCTTCGTTATCTCTCACCACCTCCCCCTCCTTTTGCTCAAATACCTGGCTCCGTGCGCCATCTTTGCTTCTTCCTGAGGGGCTGTGGAGCTCGGCTCGAGTGTGGAACTGCTTCCCGCTCCGTGATGCCACACTGGTGGGATCCCGGGGCTTTAGTTTCTTTGTTTGTTTTCAATTGTTTGTTTGTTTTCTTTTTCTTTTCTCGAGTTGGGAGCCCATTCTGACTGGGCAGTGGTGCGAGGCTTGGAACCTACCCCTCAGGTTGCGCAGACACGCAGAGGGATCCCTGACAGCATTTCTTTTTTTGTACTTTTTTTTTTTCTGTTTTTTGGGGGAGTTTTCTTCTTTTTTTTAAATCTGTTTTGTTTTCTTTTCCCTCTTGTTCCCTTTTTGTCTTTCTTCGTTACTCAGTTTCTCAT